CAATGAAAAACCAGTTAATTGATAAGTAAGAATCTTTATAACTGAAAGTATACAGAAGTGTACTTACTGAACTGGAAAGATAAAAATGTGAGCAACAAGATCAAAAATCGACAACTTATTTCTGATACAAAATAACAGTCAACTAACTGTCTCTAGAAGACAACAGCTGTTTTCTTGAATGGGAAATTAGGCAAAAATTCATCTTCAGTTTACGCCTATTCTTGGAATAGTAACATCAGACAAATAAACAATTGGTTTTAGGTTTTTTTACGATTGTGTAAATTTCAGCTTATCTTGAAGACGTTTCTCTAAGTAATGATGAGATCATAACGTCTAGGTGCTTAACCCCTCTAAAGTCATATGGATAGAACGATATTTCATTAAGGTTTTTATTGGTCATTACAAAATGGATCTAAAATCTATATCTATCGAATCAAAGATTTCTTAATACCAGCCTATACAAAGCATGATCCTGAAGAAATTTCAACGACGGTTCCACTTTTCTCACCGCTCCAAAAGAACTAACCTTGAAGATGAAGTTAACAAACACATACAACACAAAACAGTGAATTCCGCTAAATACCTTACGTGCTTGGAAATATGAAATCAGTGATTTTGCAGCGTAAAATTTCAGTGACATACTTAGAATCTTAGAGAAATTATTTGCAGCAATAATTGACTAGTAACAAGTCTTAGTACGGGCACCCTAGACCATCTTCCAACCTGACTTAGCGTCCTCAACATGGTACATCCAACCTACCCCAGCCGATGAAGGTTCACAACCTCATCAATTGAATTGCCTGTCATGCCTAGAACCCTTCACATGACCTCGAAAATGGTCACACGTAGTTTCACCAAACGCTAGCAATGCTACGACGACAGCTGTGAACGAAACTCATTTTCTACTTCATGTCTTCTACTTTCAACGGTCATGCCTCACAGCCGTATAGAAGGAAAGAATGAACTGCAAAGCAGTATACTTGTCCTTTGATAGATATTCAGATATCTAGCTAATCGGCATCACAGATGACGCAAGTTGGTGAATGCCAAACCAACCCTACTTATCCAACCTGAGATCTCGTCTGTAACCACCCCGTTCGGGCTGATGCAACTCCCTAAGTAAGTCGAGTGGTCGACACATCCCGCCACTTCACTGCCTATCATTAAACCGGCAGTATTTGCAGCAAACCAGTCCTGGAGCATCATCTTACAGTTGACAGGAGTCAGCGAGACGCATGCCAAACATACTCAGATTTCCAGTCAACGTATTCAGAAGACTATGCATTTCGTCAGCGTCCTCACTCGCCGAGGAAATATCATCTGCATGCTTTAAGTCAACTAACTAGATGACCTCCAGTGAGTAGGTCAGTTTCTGTGAGGTCAGATGTACCCAAGGTTATGTTCATTAGTACGTCTACAATGAAGATGAATGGTGCCAGTGGACATCCCTGACAGACATTACTAGTTGTCGTCCATTCTGACGACAACTCTCAATTAGCACATACGCAGCTGCGTGAGTCCAAGTAGCGAGCTCTGATAAACATTACACACTTGCTCAGTACTCCCTTCACAGACAGGCCCTGCCACAACACCTCACGGTAGATAGAGTCAAATGTCGCCTTCAGCCCAACAAATATGGCAAGTGTAGGCCATTGGCCAATGGACACGCCTGTGTTCCATAATCTGTCGGGGGATAAATATGATCGATGCACCCTCGTCCAACTGTCTGAAACCTACCTGGTTTTATTGAGGTACACTTACGCGCCGAGTAACTGTGGTCCCTAGGATCTTGGACACAATATTACTCAAACTAATTCCCCTATAGTTGTCACAAGACGACTTCTCTGCCTTCTAACAGAGTGAGATGACCAGTGAAGTATACTAGTCTGACGGTACAACCTCCGGCTCACATACACTACCTAGTGGTACCTCCGTCACTTTAATCACCAATTAACTAACTACATCCTTGAAAACTTCATGCGATGAACTGTCAGGTTCAGCTACTCTACATCGTTTCAGGTTTGATACAACCTCATCATCATCCCAGAGAGTTGGGGGACCGATATCTTCGTCCCATTAAGGTTCAGGCTGTATGTTAGGCAACTGAAGCGTTGTTCAGGGCCAATTGAATTGGGCTTCGAAGTGTTCTGCCTAATGTTCCAGCCACCTGTCCGTGGAGGTAATCAAGATGCCATCCTTTTTGGTGGTCTTTTTACTCACCATCGTCCTCTTCTGGTCGGTATCCTAAATGAGCTTAAGTAGCTACCGAGTGTTAGCCAACCCTGATGCCTTCTCCTTCTCTGTCACACTCGCTATGCGCCACTGCTCGCAACCGATGCGACGACTGTTGGTTAACCTGCGTTTGAGTTGCTTTCGCTCTTCATTGGGATCACAGCCAGCTGGAATCAGTATTCTCGAATCATTCAGTTCCGATGACGTGGAGGAAATCCAGTGACGTCTGCTAACTTTCAGGTGTATGTCACCAACTGTCTTTACTTCTATTTCTACAGCACACTTCATCTCACGCCAGGTTTCCTCAAGATGAACATTGCTGTCACATTCAGATAAATGCTTAGCTGACTCCTCTCTAAATGCGTACTTGGCGTCCCCATCTTCCAACCAAGCATGGGCAGGCTTTTTATCGACTTTTTCATGAGACCAGTAGGGCGTAAACATAAATGAGGTCGTATTAGTGTGTAATCGGAATCCAAACTAGTACTGCAGAAGCAGTGGCAATCCTCCAGCGATTCTTTTCAACTTTCGCTTGACCCAATATGATCTAATTGTGTCCATCGATGGCTTAATGTTGGCGGACGCCACGTGAGACAGTGTTGGCCAGAAACAAGTGATTGTCAGAACAAAATTGCAGGCAGAGATTACTATTGTCAGTTCGTTGGCAAGGCATCCGTTAGATACCTTTCCGATTGACTCAGCTTCACTACTTGAATGTTAAGGTCACTTGCCATTATAATCACATTTGCCTTCTGTAGCAAAGTTGGAAGCTTCTGATAGAATCCATTATTTACATCATCTGAACTGCAGTCAGTGGGCACGTCGCGCTGGCGGAGACTGCAAATAGGCATCAGTTGGTCTCATGACCTTTGGTAGTTCTTACGGACCAATTCAGTCAGACAGTACATGGGCGACTGTTGTCTGGTGTACTGGCGGTTGACACCTCCCGGTTACACTCACCGTGGAAGGCTATTTCTTCTTAAAGCACCTAAAGGAGAAAAAGGTTAGTGCATCTGTAGAGCCCATAGGTTTTCTTCCTGATGCCTACCACATACGGTCTTTTACGGGATGCTGTCTTGAGGTTTCGTTGTTCCAACGCCCGATAGAGAGAATCCATTCCATTGGCATCGGAAGAGGGTGAGGCAAAGAGGTGTGTCCTATTTCTAACGTCGACCTTTTCTAACCCCCTTTCCCACTGCGAAGGCAGCATCTGCGCGGCACTGCCGGTCATCCTAAGGGAAACACCTCAATGATGTCACATCACATCCAGTTAGAAACAGTATTACTTCGCCCTGAGACTAGAACTTCATCACAGTGTAGCAATTTATACTATAATGCTTTTTTGGCTTGCTACTAGGCAACAGATCTTTCCAGTATAGTAGGATCTAAATTGAACGAGCGTTACATCAGCATAGCTCGTTGGTTCATTGTGATATACAAGCCCAACCACTACGTCAAAGTAACAGTTATCGGTCGGGACACTTTTATAAAATGATTTTTTTACATAAATATATAGTCAGAGACATGAAGGCACAAAACATTGTAAGAATGTAAGGTAACTGAAATACTACTTTCCACGAAGAATTTGAGTAGCCTAAAACTGTCAGATCAGTACCAAACATACAGTACAAAAGTTTAACACAATGAAATTTCTGATAAAGAGGAAAAGGACACCTTGCACTAAAAATATGGTACTATTGACTAAGCAGCTACAACTTTGAGCATAAAGTTAAACTAGAAAGGCAGGACTGGTTTCAACTTAGCCTATTTACATTTGTATTATATACGTTACCCTTCATATAATATGTGATATTTGTTTCTAATCAACAAAACAACCTTAACATTTTATTTACACTACAATAGTAAAGGTAATGAATTTCAACCGGTAGTAAGTTTAAAAAACAGGTTAATGATTTCGGGGAATAAATCAATTCATAATCAATTTTGACTTAAACGAAAATTCAAGGAAAGCTGAATACCAAGTTATATTGAGTAATTCTACTGGGGTAATTTACGACCTTCAGTAGTACAGTCTGAACGCTGACTTAATTTCTGTGCAGATTATGCTACCTCTAAGTAGCTAGGCCAGAATAGAATCACAAGTTAAGGTCATATGCGAACACCAACCACTACTAGCTATTTCCAATTTGGCTTGGAAAACAGGACAACGAAACCTGTTCTCCAACCAAGACACCTGGAAGCATTAGGCCTAGTTTAAAAGAAAGTATGACTAAGAAAATGCGTCTTAAAACAAAGCTGTCAGTACCTTTTTAAAGTAACGAAAATTATTTCTGTCCAACTATTTTCAGCATATCCATTTACCACTCATCATTATATATATATATATATATATATATATATATATATATATATATATATATATATATATACCTAATGCTTCCCAGAGTTTCAACTTAATAAGTAATAGGTGAAAATCCGTAGCAACCACAGCGATCATCAACCCACATAACTGTTAAGTGAGGATGAGGAAAAACCAGAGCAATATTGTTTAAGCAAGTTATATCATTTATTCTTTTAACTACACAATTTACATGATGACTACGGATGCGGTGAACAAAACGTACCACTAAGAAAGAGGAAAAATACTGTACAACTCTGCGCAATAATAAACATGATAGAAGTAATAGGTAAGAAAGGGATGCGAACAAGTTCTCTTTTATTTATGTTACAGAAAAGTGCTTCTCATACAACTGAGAATGAAAAGTGATAAAATTAGAACTTGTATTCATTATGAATTCGTCATTTTTTTATTCTAACAAGAATATACCTCGAAACGTTGTCTCGTATACGCGTCGAACAGATTCTTTAAAGAGAAATTTGAAAAAAAGACGTAGTCAGCGAGAAAGCAAAAAAACTTGTCATTAAATAATTCAGCCAATTCAAGGAAATGTGTAAACTTTCAAGTTACTAGGAGATAAAATATCAGCAGTTTCACAAGTTAGTGCGAAATGCAAATACATTATATCTCGTTATTGTAGGAAAAACATTACAAGCTGATAAAGTACCTCGACATGTAGGTCGTTAATTGGATATGATTTGCATTATTTATCAATGGATAATTACCCTCACAAGAGATATGAGTCATCATTCCAAGACAAACAGTGAAACCTTACGAGAGCTGCTTCTTCTTTGTACAATTTCAGTTTAACAAGTAAACTTACCGTCAGAAGGACTTCGTGGCAATGCGTTCATTATTAGATCCTCCTTATAGCCGACATGTTTATGGCAAAATTGGAAAGTGGACCACTTTGTAGCACAACAGATAAACTGTCCTTCTATTGCAGATACATAGATGATCATCATTCTATACAAAAATAAAGCTTATCCTGTCTAGAAATCGTCTAGAAATCAAGTTCACCTGTGAAACACAGAACGATGAATGTCTGCCATTTCTGAATGTTTTGTTATCAAGGTGAATAGATGGGAGTACCAGAGGTAGTGTATTCCGTAAGACATTATAGGTCAGTCAGCATACACGTTTCCGATCATTTGTCCCTCTTACGTACAAAAGGAATTTAATCCGTACACGTGTTTCAAGTCAGCAAGATTCGCACAGCTGACACTTTGGACGATGAAACGAGGATAAAAAGAACTTCTTATACGAGAATGGATATCCTGAGCAGTTCGTAAGGACTGTATAATGTAAACAGCTTGTGAAAGTTGCCTTCAAATAGTACCAAAGAAACGATTATATCTAACTTTAGCGTTCAAAGGAGATGAAGCTGCAGAAACATTGACACTGAAACTCAGAAATCTGATAGAAAAAAACCTTCTTTGAAGCCAAACTGTTTGAAATTTACTACTCCCTGTATGAAGCTATGATGCAGTTGAAGGATAGTTTCCAAATCAGGTCATATTTAGGTGCATTTATTAAATTAACTGTTTTTATGAAGATAATTAAATAGATAGAACGACTAAGCAAGTCCATCATCGCTTCATTGAATACTTTCCAGCGTGGTTAAGCAAAAGAACGGTGAAATCCATAACAAACTCAATACTGACCCACTTGGCAGATACTGAGTACAAGAGTGAAAAAAAACCTCTGGATTTACTATTCTTTACAAAATGCCATCACTCTAAGTTTGTGGGCCTCCGATTGCTAGGCATAACAGAAGATATAGCAATTAAATTTCTCAAACCTAATTTATGTATACAGATGTTTGTTTATACCCTTTCCGTTCCATGATCTTTAACTTCAACCCAAATACAATTATAATAATCTCCTTTCTCATCACCTGCATAAACGCAAATATTATCTCTGCTTGTATTCTTCTTCTTCTTCTTCTTCTTCTTATTATTATTATTATTATTATTATTATTATTATTATTATTATTATTATTATTATTATTATTATTGTTATCGTTACACCCAGTCTTAATTTCAGTTTCACAATTGATTAACAATTTTGACAGTTTATTATCGAATTGCTATGCGACAGTAATTTTATTCTCCTCTATCCATATACGCATACACAAATTACTCACACACCCGCAATGATTGACTACTGAGAATATATACACTTTCTGAGATTTTGTTTTGTTCGTGTCGACATTATTGTTATCCTCCAATTCGTGTGCCCGATTTCAATTAACCAATTTGGTATTCAATGACTACGCTGAATAATTTGTAAATGTAATTGTAAAGCCTAACAAGAATTTACCGAGAAGTAGTAACTTATCTTTTACGCAGAAATATATTCAAGGACGACTGTGATAGGTTATTCTGAAGGTTGTTCCGTGGAAAGCCAGTATGTATAAAATAGCTCATTTCTCCTAATTTCAGAATTATGCATCCACAACTATATGAGGAATGTAGCACAGGATATTCATACCCCACAGGGATCATTTAATTAGCTGAAATCTAATGGACAATAACTTCGAAATCTGATTAGTTTGCGAAATAATAAGGTAACTAGCACACAATATCATCGGTAACTATTTAGAAGCTATTGATTGGATTGTACGATTGTCACCACAAGATACGTAGGTCATGTACTTAATCGATGATGACAAGTCTTCAACTACGACGGAATGACTGACCAGTTCTTCGCGGTCCCAGTAGTTTCTTTAGCTAATTTCCGTTCTTGATAATAAATATATATATATACCTCAAAATCGATCAACCTCCGGCAAAACCCCTCAACTCAATACGATACGAAAGTGAGTCAGTGAAACTAAGGGTTGAGATACAATAATTAATTTGAATTACAACTTACCTTCTAACTTCCGTAAACTATCCTGTTTAATTATGAAAACCATATACACTTCACGTCCATTAGATCGTATACAGACAACCCAACAATGGGGATCCAGTCTAACAGTGATTTCTTCATGCCATGCATTAGGTCTGTGAAGATACATTGAAAAATGAAAGGTAACAAAATGAGTTGTTCAAGCATATACAAGTAACTAAGGCATTCGGTTAAGAAACAAACAAACTGAATATTTAAGTTTATTTTAACACAAAGGATGAAGCTTCAAATACTATCTAGCTGTCACCTCAACACATCAGAGGCTTTGGTAATCCAGCGGTATAAGCCTGATCTTTGCGTTCAAAACAGATACATTCAATCTCTAGTTTTAGCTTGGTCGCGATTTCCATAAGAAATTTTATTCATTTTCCTTGTTTAGTGTTTGTTTATTTAATGTAATCCCATAAGCAATTCTCGATAACCTTTGGTTGACCTTCTAGCCGTTATCTTAAGAAGTTATTGACTATTTTTGATGATTTGCCACGAGAGTCTTCTTTCCAATTCCTTTATAAAGTGAAACCAAACGTTTCGAAGGGAGTGCGTATCTGCCACCTCAATACAGTAAAGGTTTTGGCAAACAAGTGGGACAAGCCTGATCTTTGAGTTCAAAAGAAATAAAAAATTATTTAGAAAAAAAGTTAACTGATGACAAGGATCATTCTCAGACTCTTAAGGATGATGGCATAGTCGGATAATCAGCTTACCCCAAAATCAGTCGTAAAAGGATTGATTTATGTGGATATTATAAAAGGATGTTATAAAAGGATATACTATATTCCCTGATTTCAATTAAAAATTTTCGGTTAGTAAAAATAATTTAGATAATCAGTTAACTAGGGAATATAAATTGTATGTTAAGCAGCTTCGTTTATTCCGCCTGTATTAAAAAATTACAATTAATCGTTTCAGTACACATTCATCTGGTTAAGTATATCCATAATAAACAATAATTTTTTTATTACAAACTAAATTCAACTAGAAAATTATAATAATAAAAAAACAAGGTATTTTGTTTGGTTTCGTGTGTGGAGGTAGGAAAGCACTGTTGAAGAGTTATGAACAAGGATTTAACGCATCCAATGCTGTTTATTTTTCAATACTTCTTTAGGTGAATAACAGTCTAAGGTGAAAACTGACTTGGAAACAATTAAATTCTCGTAATTCAGTAATATTCATAGTAATAAATCTAGAATTTACAATACGAATACAAGCCAGTATACAGTATTTAATAGGGAACAAGAAAAAAGAAGTACTCCAAACACCATAAACAATCACATTTACGACGATTTATTATAGCTACGAAATGACAATATCGATGACATTATTTAGAGTAGACAAACTATCGAAAAAATAAGCGTATGTTGAAAATCCAATATATTGTTCTCAATGTATTCGCGGCACGTACATCAAAAACAACTAATGGCATTGTTTTTTTAGCACACAAATATATATCCAAGAAAGACCGATCAAAATACTCATCTCACAGGCATACATTTTAGGAACAAAAGGAATGAGTAAACGACAAGCGAAAAATTCATGCAGAAAGCAGGTTTAGAAAAACATATGATGATTATTATTTCTCAAATAAAAGGTTTATAACGATGATAATATCGACTGCCAGTTACGGAAAAACTTAACTTTAGTAACCATCTATAAATTAATGAGGTATACACGAAACGTATATATACAGGGCTTGAACTTTTAAATTACCTGAGAGAAAATTCTTCACGTAAATCAACCATAACATCCAAAAGTGCTTTAGCTCCTTTGATTGGTCGTTTCCCGGAACCAGTGTACACATGCAAAGTTGTCATTACAGAACATATTGATGGATTCCAATAAATGAATCGATTTGTATAGACTGAAGATAAAGGAGAATCCACATAATTTAAATTTTCTATTGCATTACTGATCCCGTCTTCAGTGATTGTAAGACCATCAAGTGTTGGTACAACATGCGAATTAACGTCCACTGCACCTTCCATTAGGTGTAAGGGGAAGATACTTTGAGGGGAAAAAAAGTTATATACTGACTCAAATTTTTTCACAGAGAATACAAGTGGTTGTTTTCACACACTAGTCAACTTGCGAAAAGTTATGTGAAATGTTTAATTCGTCTTGCAATAAATCATCCATATATTAACTTCAGTGCTCATTATTTCTACATAAGATACAGGTGCGTACGCAATCTCAACAAAAAGGAATAAAACAAAGAAGATAAACAATGGTATTCATTCGAAAGTTGTAAACTTACTTCTTTCGTGTATCAACACAAAAGCACAGTTGAGCGGTGGAAATATTAGACGAAACATTAACTACTCATAAGTAGTGTCAGTTTAAAATTGAACTTTCCAAGGTAACTTTGTCAACAAGACTCGCCAAAGGCATGAGGAAAATTACGCAATTTTTATAGGCATTTGAATCAGTCATGATATCCCCTAGTAACAGTCTAAACTGGTGCGGAGTGCCAACACAAGAACATAATTTCAATGATACTACTTTTAAAGAAACCCAGCATCTCACTAGGTCCCAATTTCACTTTAACTGCTGAAAGTTTTCCCTGACTGTCAGGTGAATGAGATATTCATGCTACGTTGTTTTTTATCACACTGCTCAGATATGTTTTTAAAACAGTCAATGGTAAAAATGAAACTCCCAACAAGTTGGAACCTAGCGGAAGAAACTTCTTCAAAGAATCCTAGTTGCACAAGCTGTCGTGCATATAAATGAATTAATTGAAGTGGATAGCACTATCAGTTTATAAGTACACACAAAGATACTTTTCCACTACAAATTAGAGTGAAAAATGATATTAAGCTTTTCGATTGCATAACTTTTGGTAGGCAGATAATTTAGTGCGAATATATATCTGGCACGAAAAATTGAGTTTCCAAATATATTTACAACAGCAATTGAATTATGGTTGAGATACACTACAGATTTATTAGGAAATACAGTTAAACAAGTTGGTGGAATAACAGAATCTTCACTGTCAGAAGCATTAGGAATGAAGACTGTAAGGAGAGCCTCAGTCACTCCGCTTTCAGCTTGATCGAATAAAACATTTTGCTGAACTTAAATAATTATCACAGTAATTTATTAAAAAGCTTTTCACTTAGTATAGATGCTATTTATCACCAGTTTTCCAGTGTAAACACGCACCCTATGGTTCACATAATTGGCATATGAGATGTTCAATGTTTATATGGAACTGTTTGTTTGACAGAACAATGCAAACAAGAGCCTTCACAGATGCTGACGAAACCAGCTAAATAACCAATACATATCTTACCTCACATTTGAAATACTTCTTTAGGTATATGCTAGTATAGTAGCGATTTTTAAAAATGTTAAGGCTGTCGATGACTACAGTTAACTCATTAGTCAGTCATGCTTAAAAGATAAGAAATAAATTACAAAAAATTATAATCCTAGATTAATACAACCACCATAAACTTACCTACCACCCATAAATGAGTTGCTCTGGTTCGCAGCAAGACGTTCAGCTAACAAAGTTAAACGCGGACCAACCACTCTATCAAACTCCACAAAAAATTGCACTGGAATAAAATCAGTACCTGAAATAAAAGCATTAAAATACGAAATAAACGTATCAATGGACGTCTTGATTTACGAAGCACAAATTTATAACCAAATCGCCAAATTTTCAACTATGATATTTTCTGAGATCTATTGATCACCATTGAATGTGAGGTTTCAGATAAAAGAGTAAGACTCGGGCATTAAGGAAGATTATAATTCCATATTGTAAAACAAAAAATGGTTATAGACAAAATAATTATCCTTCTGATGACTCATTTTCATAGCTCTACATTAGTAGATTTAAGTAAAATGATAGAATGTCACAGTAAAGTTTCCGGTCAAGGGTCAAACTTAATCAGCAGGTGTGTGTAAGGATTTGAAATGATATTATGTAACACAAGATATGATCTCAATAGTTTTTCTAAAATGCAATGAACAGTAAGATTTGGTATCTGGTCGAAATAAATAAATAAACATGTGATAAAATATGAACAGAGGTGCAAAGTATCTGATTACGAACATGGTAAAAAGTATTTGTATATGTTTCTTTTGAAAACACAATTGTGGTTTGAACCTGTGAATTGTCAAAGCTTCGGCTGCATATGTGTTTAATCTCCCTACTTTTCGAACGGCTTGATAAAACTTTGTAGAGAACTTTGAAGGGGGTTTTCGGGGGCACCAGATGTTTATGAGATGTTCAATAATGGAGCTGGACAGATGGTTTTGTGCTCGCCCTTTAGCAACTAAGCTGGGTAATATTTGCGACCACGTTTTTCAAGCGAGCGCATAGTACAGTCGACATACTCAGTTTCACAGGAGCAAGTGAACTTTTAAATACACATTGATGAGGGTCAATGAGCTGACTTGTCCTTCATGTACTGGTGAATCAGCCGATAACATGAGAAGACAATACGGAGGTTTTCAGCTAAGAATAAATCCATTCGTTAATATAAGAGTACAACTTGTGCACTGTGGTAGAATGTAATTCCATTTTTATTGATTTATTAGATTTATCACATAGTGTAGCAGTATTGTTTACCAGTCACAGTCTTAGCCTGGTCACCGTTAACCCTCTTCCAACCTTATCCAACTTCCCCCAACATAACGTGTTGAGGTAGGCATGAGAAGTACATATCCAAATTACCTCAGTTGACTAAGGTTCAAAATCTCATCAATCGACTTGCCTGTCTTGCCTAGTACCCTTAGCCTGACCTCAAACATTGCTCACACAATGATTCCACCAAACACAAGCGATGCTGCGAAGATATCTGTGATCGAGTCTCAGTAATCGCTTCGTGTCGTTCACTCTCAACGGCCATCCGTCACAGTTGTACAATAGAACGAACAGGACAGATTCGGTTACTGAGTTTCCTTATTAATCATATGATTAACAGGTTTATTTATACCATGAAATTATACCAATACAATACATACTGTGTTCTTCTAATTAAAAAGGAAGTTAGCTGAAATTTAAAACAAATCATTCGTTACCAATCACTTTAAAGGAAATAACTAAGAGATTTGTCAGCTAATAATTCTGTTTCAATCTAACTTAGACAATGTTAACAAAAATAGTAATATTTTGTTTGTTTAAAAGCAGATGAGAATGTGACTACTTCAGTTTTGAAAATGATATGCAGTTTGTGTGGAAGATATGACAGATCAATACATAACTATGCATAATTATAGGAGTGGAAATGTCATGAGAAAAGATAAAAACAACTCTATCATATATGAATTGCTGTACCATCTTCTGATGATGAAAGCAGATTTATCTGTCAGTTGACATGTAAAATGCTACAGACAATATAAAAACAACATGAATATGAAGGTTAATTATAAATATCTTTTAGTTTTGTGTCCTGTACTCTGAAGTTTGCTTAAGCTAACCTCAAAGCTGGTGCAAATTCGTTAACTTTTTAGGAGTATGCGGTTTCCCGGTGCAAACTGAAAACGCCTACATGCTCTGTTTGTTGTATCACTTGCTCCCTAAAAACTTTAGGTATTTATCTTGGAAGTAAACAGAAAAGTACTTATAAAGACGTTTTACGTCAAAAGATTTCCAAACAGATTTGGAGATAAACTAAAGAACAAGTGCAGTATTTTCAAACAACCCGTTGTACACTGTCGATGTAGTATGCGTACACATATGCTTCAACCTTAGTGATTACCAGGTTCAGTTGCGTCTGATTTAGTGATTAAAGATAGAGCTCGTCGGTAACCCAAGCCTGCAACCACAGTAGGGTGTTAACATAACCGACTGAGACAAACGGAATAAACGTACAAACTCGCGCAGAAGTGCATCAATATGTCACACTTTACATCAGTATGCAAAGAAAAAGTGGATAGGAAACGACTAATATTAAAGAAGACAAAAATGAATGCAAAGAATAGGCATTCGAAAACCAACATTACTGAGAATGTTGAAGCTTTAGAAGACGTCATTTTGACCGATTTTCAACTATGTTGCTGAAAGCCGCCAAACATTGCTTCATATCGTCTCTAGGACCTAAGCTACGTAGCCTACACGTTCCAACGCATTTTATAACAACAGTCAGATACTGGTAGCTTCTGGCGCCAAACTGTCACCTGTAGTTGCTTTGCTTCGTTTCAAGTTCGAAACAGGCTTTTCAACTTTGAGGACCGACATCTACATCTTACTGTGATTTGAGCTGGTTGTTCGGCAACTGAAGCGTTGCTGAGGGCCAGTTGAACTGTGTTTCAAAGTGTTCTTCCCAACGTTCAAACCGTGCATCCTAAGAGGTTATCAGCATCCATTCTCTTCGGTGATAATTTCACTAACCATCGGCTTTTCCTTGTCACTATCCTCAATAGGCTGAAATAATTATCCAGTATTACCTAACGCTGATGTTTTATCTATCTCTCTCGCTTTCGCCCACCCACTACTTCTCGGAATCACAGCAAAGACTCCTATTCAATTCACGTTTCAGTTGCTTCTACTCTTCTTTGTGGTAAGAACCAGATGGAATGAGTCCTCTTGCACCAAACAGTTCGGATGATGCTGCGGAAATTTATTGACGTTTGAAAACCTTATAATATAGGTTAAAAGTTGTCTTCGCCATAGAATTAACATCATGTTAGGTTTCCTGAGGATGAGCACTGCTATCACGTTCAGGTTAATGCTTAACTAACTCCTTCCCAAGTATATACTTGATGTACTCACCTTCGAATCGAGCACGCACAAATTTGATTGTCACCTGTTTTATGCGACGCAGATATACTAGTGCCCGTACTAACGCGTGATTGGAATCCAAGAGTACTCCAGAATGAGCGCAATCCTCTATCAACCTTCTTTAATGATAGCTCACAGTAATGTGACCTTCTGTATTAACCGTTTGTTTGAAGTCAGCGGATGCCATGTGAGACAGTGTCTCTCCTTATGTCTAAAGTTAGTACTGATCAGAAACAAGTAACTGTCGAAGTAAAAATGCAGCAGATGACCACCGTTATTGGTTCGTTGACATGAGATTCCGTAGATACCTTTCGGATGCCTCTCTAGTAGCTCAGCTACCTAATCCAGAGTTGAAGTAGCGTGCTATAATGACTATATCTGAGCATTTTGTTTTTCGTAGCAAGGTTGGAAGCTTTTCATAGAATTCCTCTTTCGCATCATTCAAACTATAGTCGGTAGGCGCCCGAGTAAAAGTCATTATATGTATCGTCAAGGCTCACGGCCTTTTCTAGTTCTTACAGATCCATTCATTTAGATAACATAAAGATGGCTGTTGGTTGGTATACATTCGAAAAGTATACTTTCTGAACGGTGACTTAATGCTGTGCATACACCTGCAAGTTCACGAGAGTTAGTCATTTTCGGACATTCACAAAGTGAATCTTTAAGGCCACGTCAAGTGAATAAACACACTCAAGTCCTGTACATGGATCTCAGAAACGCAGCACATATCAATAGCTTAATATTCCAAAGTTCTGGAGAGCGATGTCTGCTGCCCGATTGGGCATGGAGTTCAGATGTTGGAGGACCCAGTGTGAAATCTAAAGCGGGGTCATAGGCAACTAGGAATGAGGTTCCGATGGCTTTGGTCGTTCGGAAAAGCCACAGATTGAAGTTGGGAAAGGCGTTGGGGGCTTAATATTAGTATCAGGAAATGAAAAAAAATGAGGAGACAGAGTTGGGGAGGATAGGTTGTGTTTGGTTGGGTTTTATGTACTAGTTGGAACGTACGGGCGGTTGACACTTCCCGGCTGTCCACACCTTGGAAGCCTATTTCTTCTTAAGGTACCTGAAAGGGAAGCATATTTGTGTGACCACAGTACCCACTGGAAATCTGCTCGACGTCAGCTACACATCGCCTTTTGAGAATTGTTGGTTTCAGATTTGACTATTCCAACGCTATCATACGTATGACTTCACCAACGAACCCTCATCATAGTGTAGCAATATACACTATAGCCGTAATTGATTTTTGTCATACTATCATCCAATAGACCTTTCTGATGTAGTAGGACCAAGAGGGAACAAGCGTTCCAGTTAGTGTAGCTTGTTGGGTCATTGTGATATGCAAGCCCGACCAAATACGCCAAGGTAGAAGCTATCGGTGAGTCAACCATGAATCTAAAAGTACTGATAAAATAACTGTTATATCAACAGTCATAACGTGTACATCAGTTTTCTTGCTATTCAGATTACACTTTATAAATATTAGTTAGACTCTTAACAACAATGAATCCGGTGGGTAAATAACTGAAAAACGTCTGTTTTCCAAACTAACTTTTTAAATACAAGATTTTTAAATTATTTTAGTGCATAAATCGTTGGGTAGACAAAATGAAGAACACATATTAGCTTGCTTACCTTTAACGAGTAGACATAAAACGACTCTTAAAGCTTGATAGGTAATTAACTGACAGTTGGGGAGGGTGGAATTCGGAGAACATATTAGCGGATATTTAACCTGTTGAGATAAATCGGATAGGTCTTTTGGACCGACAAGGTATCTGAATCGACAAAAAAAGTAACGAGTGACAAGAAACAAGTCATAGTTTGATAATCAAACAAAACAACATTCAACAGTAAATTTCACTTCCTTTCATCACAGGACTATTGATAAACCTAGTTTAATAATAATAATAATAATAATAATAATAATAATAATAATAATTCACTTTATCACTATATTGTTATGCCAGTTAAACTAACAAATGACAAAGATTAGCTATTTGTGATAGATTCAGTATTGTAGTATGTACTAATCTCTGGAACATGGAATTTGTCCAGTTGGGAGCCTTATTAGTTTGCGAAAGTGGGACTCTGAGAAATTCCCATTTGTGTCAGTTTTAACTTTATGGAAACATCATTCGTTCATCAGACATCAAGATTAAAGTGCACATCTATTGTACCAAATAATGAGACATAGTTACAAATCTAAAGGATGTCTAATCCAAAATACCTAGATTCAAAATCCACTCAGCAACCTTGTGCATACATTGGGACAGTAACCAATAAGCTACAACTACTGTGTGAGGGCTTATAATGGTACCTAGTTGCCCAAACCTGGATAGGTGGAGCGTTGTTCGAACTCATGACCTACTTGGTTGAAAGTCAAATCCCTAAACCGATGAGCTAAAATTCCACCATTACCTTCAAATTACAATGCTAATTACTAGATATCGAGTTACTAACCAATGGTCGTGGTTATGAGTGGAGATGAAGGTTTGATGGGGTTTACAAGTTAGCAGAAATTGATGAAAAGTTGTCCATGGTAAAAAGGAAGAAGATTAAATTTAGAAGCTTTGAGTTTGAGTACTGGATAATTAGCATCGTCTTATGTCTGTTTTCGATCGTATTTTTTTTTAATTATTTCACTGCCTTTCTGTTTATTGTTCTCTTGTGTTTAGTTGTTATTCTAGTCAGTCATTGGTCTTACGTTAAATTTTACTACTGACATGCTAAAAGCACATTTCTAAATGATACAATGAACACGTTCTTAAAGCATAAATCAGCGGTAAATAATAAGTGTTTAATGCACTTTAGTATATGGTTCAAATCATTCGATGCACAAACAAACGTTTGCACACAACTTTATAACATGTATATCAACAAAATGGTTGAATCACCTATCAACAATAACAATTCTATTAATAGCAATAAAATTTAGAATTACTTAGGAAGTAAAATTAATAAGGTGACACTAATTCACTAGGTTACCTACAAGAAAGTCAATGAAGCTGTTACGTACATATCACTAAAACCTGACCTATCAATAACTATATTTTCACTGTATGCGCAGAAATTACTCAGTCGACCACTTAGTAGTTTAAGTATGACGAGCCTGAAATCATATTACCAATCAGTATGTTGACTACGCAAGATAAGATATAACACCAGTGTTTGGTAGTGTACTGAACCACTTTTTTCTTTCTTTTTCTAGAACCAGTGATGCATCCATCATTTGAAAATATTAACTAACATCCATACAATAGCTGCTACCTTGACGTGGTGGTCGGGCTTGCATATCACAATGACCCAACGAGCTATGCTGGTGGAACGCTTGTTCCCTCGAGGTCCTACCATACCAGAAAGGTCTGTTGGGTAGTGGTTAGACGAAAAGCAGTTACCATAAGTGTAAATTGCTACACTATGATGGGGGTCTGAGGGCGAAGTCGTACTGCTGCTAGCTGGATGGGGTGTGACAGCAGTAAGGTGTTTCCCTTGGATGACCAGCAGTGCCAAGCTGATGCTGCCTTCTCAGTGGAAGGGGGGGTTAGAAAAGGTCGGCCCCAAAAATAACACACTCCACCACGCCCCACGGTCTGCCGGGCCGGCGGTGTTGGTTCACTTGTCGTTTCCTTTCGACCATCCGGCCCCAAAAATACAAAAATTCAAAATAATCATACTCAAAAGGCTGGGTGTGACAGGCCTCAAGCAGATGTCCGATGGGCTCTGCGGTCACACAAATCTCTTTCAGGTACCTTAAGAAGAAATAGCCTTCCACGGTGTGGGCAGCCGGGAAGTGTCAACCGCCCTCACAACTCTGTCAGCACCCAAGTTTCTTCTGACTGCTATCCTCCTCCTCCATCATTACCTTCTAATCTTCCTTCACGTCTCTTAATTAATGATGCTGCATCATCTTCAATTTCTCCTACCTCTGCAGCCTTCGAACAGCATCACTGGTCTCCTTAAACCACGCTCCAAATTACATATTGGAGCCTTCAATGTCCGCACCCTCCGTCAAATTGGCCAACAGGCTTCGTTGGCAAAGACTCTAGCAACTCGGGCATGGATGTGTGCTGTGTTTGTGAGACACGCATACAGGACCCAAGTGTGGTTATTCACCTGACCTCTCCTGACCAATCTGGTGAATCTGCAAAATTCACCCTTCGAGTTTCTGGAGATTCGATAGCTAGCTCTCGTGGTCTTGCAGGTGTAGGTATAGCATTAAGCACCAGGGCAGAAAACTCACTACTAGACTGGATCCCAGTTGATAGTCGCCTCTGCGCTATGAGGCTGAACGGCACAGTGAGAACTAAAAGGAATAGTGAGACTCGCCGTTGTCTCTTTGTAATCTCTGCTTACGCACCCACTGACTGTAGTTCGGATGAAGTGAAGGACGAGTTCTACCATAAACTGTCTAACCTCCTCTCGAAAGCCAAACGTTCGGACGTAGTGGTTGTTGCAGGTGACCTCAACGCACAGGTGGGTAGACTGAGTGAGGCAGAAAGGCACTTAGGTGGCACTTTCGGAATCCCAGCTGAACGTACAGATAACGGTGATCGCCTATTACAACTATGCTCAGATAACCGCCTATTTTTAGCCAGCACAAATTTCAGACATAAAGAAAGGCACTGTCTGACCTGGCGTCCACCGAGCTCGACTCAGCGATGGACACAGATAGACCACATTGCTATTAGTCATCGCTGGAGAGGATCGGTGGAAGACTGCCGCTCCTTCTGGAGTACGTGTTTGGACAGCGATCATGCGTTGGTCCGAGCACGTATATGCCTGCGTCTCAATGGACGTAGAAAAAATTTGGCAACAAAACCACTACGAGTTCTGCTGGACAACGAAAACACCAAAGCCGTGTTCAGTGAGAAGTTGGCTAGGCAGTTATCGGAACAAAAGACTGTCACTCATCCAGAAGAAGCTTGGTGCCATCTTCAGTCTACTGTAAAAGCAGCACTGGAGACTGTAGCCGACTCCAAGATAATGGCTAAAAAGAGCCAGTGGATATCAGCAGCTTCTTCCAAACTAATGGATGCACGTGAATGCATCCCTGCAGGCTCTGAGTACAATGAAGAGCGAGCGCAACTTAAAAATAAACTGACGAAAAGTCTGCGCAACGATCGTGAACAGTGGTGGGCAGCAAAGGCTAAAGAGATGGAAAAGGCAGCGGCGATCGGTAACAGTAGACAGTTATTTAGACTTATTAAGGAGACTGGGGGGAAATGGTCAACAACAGTTAGTGAGGTTATAGCGGAGAAGGACGGATCGGCGATTCACTCGCAGGGAAGGCGACTGGGACGATGGGCAGAACACTTTGAGGAACAGTTTAACTGGCCTCCAGCCACCATTGCGCTGCCCGCTATCCAGTCGGACCCTGAATGGGACATAGAGACAGGTCCCCCAACACTAGAAGAAGTTGAGAAAGCGGTAGGTAGCCTGAAACGGGAAGGGCAGCAGGACCAGACGGACTACCTGCTGAGGTATACAAGAATGGTGGTAGAGTTCTCTTAGTCAGGCTAACGGAAGTGTTAGCCAGTATATGGGAATCAAATACGATCCCCTCCGACTGGTCTAAGTCACTCATCATCCCAGTCTTCAAGAAAGGCGAGAAGTCCTCTTGTGATAACCACAGAGGAATCAGCCTGACAAACATAGTGTCTAAGATCCTAAGTTCTATAATTCTCCGACGCCTGAGTGGAGCTCGGGAACAGCAAGCCCGAGAAAACCAGGCAGGCTTTAGACCTGGCCGTGGATGTATCGACCAAATATTCACACTGCGCCAGGTCCTGGAACATAGGCATGCTTACAGACGCCCGACAATAGCTGTATTTCTCGACCTGAAGGCGGCATTTGACTCCGTTGATCGAGAAGTCTTATGGCAGTGTCTGTCACTGAAAGGCGTGCCTAGTAAGTACATCACCTTATTGAAAGCTCTCTACTCGAACACTTGTGGGCATGTTAGAGCCTATGGCGAGCTATACTCATCAAGTGGTGTCCGTCAAGGATGCCCACTATCCCCATTCTTATTTAATTTTATCATAGATATTCTTATGGAGGTTTCCCTCTCGTCACCTAATTACAAAGACGTTGACCGGATCACAGGTGAATTTTCCTTAGATCTAGAATATGCAGATGACATAGTCCTGTTAGGTGAAGACGCTGACAAGATGCAGAGTCTTCTGAACACTTTGAGTGGGAATTTGAGAATGTTTGGGATGCGATTTTCACCACCCAAATGCAAATTTTTGCTCCAGGACTGGTCTTCAGCGGTACCGCGGTTAACAATAGAGAGTGAAGTGGTTGAGTGTGTTGACCACTTCACTTACCTGGGAAGTAGGATCAACCCGGTGGGTTAGTTGCCGATGAGATTTCTGCACGGATACAAAAGGCTCGATTGGCTTTTGCCAATTTGCGCCACCTATGGCGCCGCCGTGATATTCGTTTGTCTATTAAGGGTCGCGTGTACTGCACAGCAGTCCGCTCTGTTCTACTGTATGGCTGTGAAACATGGCCATTGAAAGTGGAAGATACAAAAAGGTTTCAGGTGTTTGACCACCGTTGCCTTCGTAGTATAGGACGTATTCCGTGGTGTCACCATGTGAGTAATGCAGAAGTTAGGTGTAGAGTTTTAGGGAGAAGAGGTAAGTCAGTCGACGAGGTTGTGAACCTTCATCGACTGAGATGGTTGGGACACGTACTACGTATGCCTAGTCACCGATTGCCTCGTCACACAATGTTGGCTGAGGTGGGTTCAGGCTGGAAAAAGGCCCGAGGTGGCCAGACTAAAACATGGCACCAATGTATGAAGTCTCTGACTGTTGGTTTAAGCCATGTAGGACGATGCAGACTAGGTGGTTGGGGTCCACGGGACAAGAGGAACCAGTGGTTGGAGACCCTAGGTGATATGGCTCAGAACCGAAGTCAGTGGCGCAGATGTATACACACATTATCCTCATCTTAACAACGCTATACCGAATCTCACTATTTTGTCACTCCTCTTTCCTTTCTTCTCGTACTTTATATTTCTTTTGACTGCATTCACTTATCTTCATCCTTCACCTCACTACCTTTTTACTTGATGTGCTGATATGAGGTGTGGCAACTCGGACCGTTACGCAGTAATGCCTGGTCCTATGTTGATAATGATGATACAAATTAAGTTAGGTTATTCTAAGGTAATTAGTATAGTGGTTCAAGATTCGACAGGTCAGATGTTTCGATAGCCTTTGATCTACCTTTGAATTTGAAAACTATTCCATAACAAACTTGGTGATGAAGGTAGAAGATGATGTGAGGTCCCTTCAAAGAAACTCACCTACATTACTTGGAAGTTAAAACCCAGTTATTGAATTACCTTCATTAAATAACACTCTACCACTATAAATTACAGACCACCTATTGACGACTACACAAACCCAACAAAATGCCAATTAATTATTTTTTTATTCGCATTTCAGTGAGCCTTAAAAAGTTCGGTGCGATAAAATTAAATAACAGTACATAATACTTACTAGTTTTAAACAAATCTCATCGCCCTACAGCTTAAGCTACCGCTAGTCACAGCGAATGCTTGTTAAGAGTTGACTGTACTGCGAAGCAGTTTACTTCTTCTGTGAAAGATTACTAATGAAGGTGCAGAACATGAATAGGCTTCAGGTTTTGGACTACTTTTCTTTTTTAGCACAGGTTACGTGTCATGGAACCACTATATTCGTAATGCAAAATTTTTTAGTGAAATAAATGTCAGTTTACGAGGTTATGAACTTTCATTGACTCACATAACCAGAACATGCGTTACACACACCTAGTCACTGTTCACCCCATCAAGTAAAATTAGATGTCTGGTATTACGTTGATCTTGATGATGATGAGAAATTCCAGGTCCCATATTGATACTGACTGATCCCTAGTCAGATGCAACACAACTTTTCCAGTGCTGCTCCACTTATCAAGACTTGTGCAGTCAAGCAGTATCACTAGTTCTTAAATAACAAGTACACGTTTATAAAGCACTATAATAATCCACATAGGGTTTCCTCAGCTGCAATATCTATCCATAGCTAGTCAATAACCATGACTTGGTGTGTACACAGCGATGTTTCACAAATAACTAGTGGTAACAACAATAAAGATGTTTAGATTACTTGATGTAGAACTTTGAATGCCAGAGTTTCACCGCTATTTAATTACAAAAGATAGGATTGCACAGAACCACTGATACTATGTCTTCTTTTAGTTTTGTCGTTGCCAAAGAACCGTTATCCAGTTGATATCAGTGTCATAAACCGGTAAAAAACTTATTGGTCGAGAAAAGGCTGCTGACCAATCAGGATTCGAAATACTAATCTCACGATTTATAAGCACCTAGTGATAATCATCAAAATAAATGACGGTAACAGCAGTTCATGTGCAGTTTTAATACAACAAAATCAGAGTAAACAAGCCTAAAAACAGAAAAATAAGAAACTACAATGGCGAAAAAAACATTGCCATGTATGACACCAGTTTTTGCAGCTTTTGATTCCATTTTTTCGATTTCCTTTTTATCTTCGTGTGATGATGTGAGGTATTACGACTTGGATCGTTACACAGTAATGTCAACTGAAACGTTGGTACTGAGTTACTGATGAATTCATGTTGCACAAAATTACTATTCAGTAGTTTACAAGAAAATATGACAATATTTGTTGAGACAGATATTCCGTTGTGTTTTAGTAGGTATCTTGATGTTCAGATGATGAGTTTCGAACCAGTTCCCATCGATTTCAGAAATAGCTGCTATCATATATTATTGAACCCCTTAATATGCATCGTATGAAGGCATTCAAGATAAGTGTTAGCGCCAGTATACATTTTTAAATTCACTCCAGTAAATAAACCCGTTTGATCTAAAACGAATCAAATTATAATTTCTTCTCAGTGTGACAAAGGAGTTTCATCGCAATAAACTAATCTCGAAGAACAACCACTATCTTTACTAAATACAAAATTATATACCTTCCCAAATGCTTGGATTTTATCGCAGCAGTTGTTGTTCTCGCTGTTGTTGTATGCGTTAACTCCGGTTGTTCAATGAATAGAAATGAATTTAGATAGTGATAGATATGACGGACATAGGTTAAATCCAAAGAAGAGCTAAAATAGTTTGAAAGGGGTGGAGAAACACGAAAAACACAGGAAAGGATTCATAACAATAGTTAAAAACATAACTGATACACCAATCAGAATGAAATACGACTAAAGTAAGTTATTTGAAAATAGTGAGTTAATTATAAATATATTCGCCTCAGAACTTTAATTACTACCGAGAATTTATGAAATAATAAACAGTATTCTCACTAGTGACCTATCAAGATGATTTCATTGCTAAGTGCTATGAAAATAAGTTCTCCGTATGCCAACTTTTTCATACAACCAACAGAGAGCCAAATCATCACATAAGTACATCTTCAAGTAAACACACTACATAATACATGTGCATACAATGATCCCCTAAGGTAGCCTGATAACAAATTACACCACTGCCGACAAAAAAAATGATAGCACATTTCCCAGTGAATAATTTCAATTAATGTGAGACACTTTACCGAACACAAACCTCGGTCTTACATTATTCTACAACAACTCACTCGCTGATGACAGAATAAACAGGTAGGCAAAATCACTCCTTGTACACTCGAAAACCAATGAAAGAAAGCAGGAATAACGTAAGTTAAAGAACGACGACCAAAGTACCTAACCAAAATATTTCATTATTAAATGATCCAGTAATATAACTGAAATAACAATGCAAATTATATATGTAAACCTTTGCGTCCACAAGACACTACATATCTAACCTAGAATGCATTTGATATAACCTTTGAATCAGTCCTTGATCAAAAACAACAAAATGATAAACAGAAAGGAAAAACTCATCATCTCTATCTGTTGCAAGAAGCAAACACTCACCAACCTTCTGTTTGAAGGTGGTAATTTAGCCAAAATCATTGCAGGCAGACTTCAACGTTCTTTAAAGAAGACGTTTGCTGCAGCCAGTCTGAGACTGACGGTCAGTAATAAATGTATTATACCACTACATCTGAAAGATAGGATTTCTCATGTGTCCATGTCAATGTGCAACAACAAATTCAACTGTTCCTGTCGAGTCAGATATTTAGGACGAACTATAAGAAAGCCTTTCACAACGTGCGAAAAAATATCTACCAGAATGGTTAGAGAAAGGAGAGATAAAGAAGACTACAAGTTCTTGGTTGTATTTTGTTCTCTGAGCTGGGTTGTTTAGTCGTGAAGCTTTCATTGCCTTGCTAGACGACATCATCAGCACTAACTTCAGTATGATGATGTCGTCTAGCAAGGCGATGAAAGCTCAACAATTAAACAACCCAGCTCAGAGAACACAATACAACCAAGACCATCCACCTGAGCTACAAATAGTCTCCATTACTACAAGTTCTATCTAGTCCCATATAATTCATGCTGGTTACAATGTTCACATTAAGTATTTCACAAGATTCCAGGTCGGATGCCACACGCAGTAAGGATTCGCTTTGTTTAAATTGCTGAAGCTATTCCAATGAAAATTATAAAACCTGAGCCCTGTGTGCGAAAACAACTCACACATTCTCTAATGCTTGTGTGGCTATCTACAGTAAAGATGGAATTTACATAATTCAGTTAAACAATGACTCAAATGACTTGTTCCTATCGATTTGATTTAGTATTTGTTTTGTTGTTGTCCTCTCACTTTGATTTTTATGTTCATGCCCCAATATCCTATAATTACTGACTGTCTGTGATGATTTTTAATTTAATCCCATTGTGATTGATAATCCCTATACCTGTTGATGCCTTTTTACACTAATTATCCGAAATAAACTGTTACATAATGTCAAGTGTGGAATGTTACATTTAAATGGAGAGTCTGATGAGACTTCAACGAAAATATGTATTTGCTCAAATTCTGTTTTTTTTATGTAAGTCAACAGGATATTGTGTATACTGAAGATCTGCACCAGTTTGCTGAAAGTACTGATTTTCACGACGCAAAAATGTAGTAGACCAGAATTCTTTTTTATTGTTATCAAACACATAAAAGGGACTGTTTAATCGCTTCATGTTTAACCAATATACGTCCTAATCTGTCTGAGAAGAAAGGAAAAGATTCATTTCACTCAGAAATAAAAATGCTGCAAACCTGTGATCCAATAGTCGGGATTATGACTTATATAGCGTAAAGTATCCACGATGCTCTTCAATTTCGGAATACTACAGTAAATGAATGAAGAATCAAGAATGAAGCGGATGAGGTATGTTTTAACAGGTGAGTATTCAAGTGCTGAGTTTCCACTTGCCTTCTGTATTGAAGTGTTTCCAAGAAGTCATTATGAAAAGTGCCGCACTCGGTCAGTGGGACTAACACAGCCCTATACTAATTTGCAAGGCAACACTGAGTTCATAACATGAGCCTAATGACCAATGCATTAAAAGAATTTAATGATATTTCATACCACACGGAATAATTTTGGGAGAAAAATAAACAATATAACCTCATTATGCATTTTAAAAAACTAACTCATAATGGAACAATAAAAGTCAGTAGTTATTACGACCTCGGGGTGTAGAGATAACACGAAGTTCTAGAGAAGAAGGTATACTGTTCTATTAAATCACACTTTATAGTCACATTTTGTTTTCCAGTCAGGTGGATCAGTAAAAACTGTAATAGACCATGACGCTTATTGATGTTTATTCGTGATCTCCGCCTGTGCATCCAATGACTGAACTTCTAATAACACAAAGGAAGAGTTAAATCAAAAGTTGACAGAACGTTCAGATACAATTATATTATAGGTTGCATTTAGTGTTTAGGTATGAGGGTGATCAATCAGAAATATATCTTAAAATATATACGGAACCACAAGAAAGCAAATAAATAATAGTAACATTTCACTAAAATGTTGTTCACATTGATTTTTTGTTTTCGATGAGGACTAACTTCAGACATAAAGAGTGATATAGCCTCCCTTTGCAGCTGCTAACATCAAAGTCAACCACGGGCACAACCAGATCATATTTCTATAAACCATTGCAAGATAAAATCGGCTGAGAAATGCTGCTTTATGTTAGGATCCTGCTTTCGGTCTAATCACAAGTTAATTCCAGCACTTGTACGTTCACGAGTCCAAAAGGCAGGCATCTGGGTTCTTCTGTGATTTGCTTGCCAAAAAAACCCAGTCTGTATATAACAAGGAGGTAAGTTTTTATTGAAACACCATGGATTCTTACTGTAATTTTGCTTAGAATATTATTTGGTCCCTTGTCAAAACATTAGAGAAAACATATATTAACCTGCAAATAAAGGTTAGTAAAAGCCAAAAGATCTCTGCAGTCTCGCCCGAATGATGGATAAGAGACAGATAAGTGCACTGAAAAGTTGCTCAGTCAATATTTCATCCACTTGAACAAACACCACCACCTACACCTATTGTATATTTTTCATATTGACTGAGCAACTTTTCAGTGCAGTTATCTGTCATTTTACCGAGTATAAATACGACTGCACAGCCTGATAATGAAGTCGTTGAAAAGAAATATTTCTTCGCTGATACATGTCTTGTGATTATGATTACGCACGAAAGTGGCTTAAACGAAAATCGACCAGGAGTCATAGTTATGATAGAAAGGGGTGGCTTGTGACAAAAGTGAACATGATGATAGAAGCGTCTACAATGAGTAATATTCGGAAGCTACTTAAGTAGATTCAGAAAACTGTCACCGAAAAAGAGCCTTGATAACTTGACAGGACAGGCTACCGGAGCGTTCAGAAGAATATATCAAGAGACAGTTTAGATGGCCTTCAGTCAAGTTTCAATCGCTAATCATTGAAGTCAGAATGGATGGTCCCACGAATCCCACTGAAGTTAGGAGAGAGATTTTGAAAATTGAAATGGGACAAAGTAGCAATATCTGATGATTCGCCTCGAGAAGTCATTGATCAGGACGGTCGGGAACTACTGGTCAGAATAATTATAGTAAGCACTGTATGTGAATCAGAGGCAGTTTCATAAATCTGATTCGAATTATTAATTATTTTTGTTTCAAAGGAGAGAAACCTTTCTGTAACAAATACAGAAGTTTGGCCGACATAGTACCGGTCTATGGATCTATAGTTATTTGATGTATGAATTATGTTTGGGAACAAGAAGACTTGAGTAAGTCACGCACATTTTCAGTTGAGATAAGGGAAACTGATCAGATCTTCACCCTTTAACACTTTCTGGAACACATATACTCTCACCTGCTCCTGAAACTTGCTATATATTTTCGCCGGACAGTAGCTTCAACATTATCGATAAGAATGTGTTGCAGTGGTATCTGACTGTAGCGAATACCAAGAAAGCAAACTATACTAATCGAGGTTTTATACCGGAGCTCATTCAGTTGTTTCTAAGCTAGTGGGGAGCTGTCATCTGAAGAGAAGACACTCAAGTGTATCCATGATGGATGTTCAGCCTTGTCATTCTTCTTCGTGACATATGTACTGGTATACGTAAGGTTATACCTCTGGTTACTCGCCAATTCGCTAAATGCTCAGGTGGCAACTGATTGGCATTTATGGGTGAAGGATAGTATTGTCAGGTAAAGATTATGATTTGTTACTTTTTACCTAAGCACTTAACGTACATGAATTACTAACTCATGTTTGTATCTCTAACCGTCTTTTAAGCAAATAAACATAGCCATCTGACAGCTGTATGCCTCATCTTAATTTCATTGGCCACTCATATGTAGGCTATAATCATCGGAAGTATGTTTATGTAAATGCGTTTAATTCTGTTTCACTGCTTAGAATGCTAGTCATGTGAGAATATAAACACACATTCGAATTCCGGTTCTTTTTGAGTGACTTACTTAGTGTGAGTTCCGGATGTTCTGAATTGTTAGTCCTAACTACAGTTCGTCATTTCTCGTTAGGAAAAACAATAAAGATATGCTGACAAAATTCTGGATCTTTTGGATACAAGTGAAAATCGTGAATATCGTGAGCCCGATACCCGCTTCGCAATGCAAAATGATACTTCAAAACTGGTCTGCATTGACTCCAAAGTTGGATAATGAAGTTTTGGAATGAGTTGACTGACACTTATCCGGAAAGTGACATGAACCTTAGTGGGCTGATCACTGGCTGAATTCCCCGCTTTTTTCAGCCGTTTCATGCTATGTATACTTATCACCTTAAATATTGGTTGAGTACACAACCATTTGCTTTTATTTTGTGCTCAAGATGTGACACAAGTGGCGGTTATCAAACACATAATGAATCTACACATTTTCCCAGATTAGCCATGATTCAGGTGTAAAGCACACGGAAAAATAACAGTGAACAGTCTGTAACGTACTCAGCAACCATGTGCACGTTCTTGCAGTAGGCAATGAGCCACACCTTATGTGTGAGGGCTACTGATACTACCTGCATACCCAAACTTCAGTAAGCCACGAGAGTTCTGAACGCTTGACCAGCTAATTACAAATAGAATGCCTGGATCAACAAGCTACAGATCCACAGGTAACGGTCTACATTTCCTAAGCATTAGGTGCACAGCATATGAAATGTTGAGGTTATTAAATATAAGAATATAATAAATTAAAAAGTGCTCAAAGTAATTCTTAGTTGGAAGAGAATGTAATTGACAACACGAGAGACTGCTTTTTTAAACAGTAACCGAGGAAAGAACGATCTGAAACTAGAAACAGTTCAATAGCATTTAACAGGCTTCTAATCAGCATCCAATGCATTGATATAATAAAGTGTTCTTAAACTTATAAATCATGTATGCTGAAGCTATAAACTGCCAGCAACTGGGTTAGCATGGCCGAGATAAAGACTGAATATAACAAATTTCCTACATGGATAACCTACGTTACAAAATCGATGAAAAGATTAAAACCGTAGTGGTTTTGACACCATTGTTTGCAATTTTCCCTCTGCTGATTGAACCGAATCAACCGGCCACTATTGGGATACATGGTCCTGTGCGGATACCTCGAAATAACCAGTAACTTTAATTCTGGATTCAATTGCTAGCCACTATTCCTCCTTAATATCGATTTGCTTCAATTAACGACAGGAAGTTACAGGCAATAATGTCAAAAACGATACCCCTAACACAAGGAGTGGCTATCATAACTCAGTCACCTAGTGGATAGAACTCTGGCATTTGAAAAGACCAGTCCTGGGTTCGAGTCGCAGTGGGAACACCACTCATTTGAGAGGTAGGTTCAACCAGCTGACTGGTCTCAAATGGAATGAAACGTGCATCCTGGATTCCACTGGTAGCCACTACCCATCTTTACTCTCAAACCCCAAAGGTTTGTTTCAAAAACTTCCTTCGGCACATTGTGAAGAAATGGTTATAACTGTGTTTCGGTATCTTCAAGAAGCAACGATCATGACCATTTCCTTGCCTGTTATTAAAAGAAACACGTGTGTGTCTGAAGTGAATAAATGAGCAAATATAACACCGAACCTACGTGCAGTAGTAAGCTTTTCTAGGAGATTAAATCGAAATCGACAGATTAACGAAGAACAGTGTATAGAAGCGAACTAGTAAGAACTGACTCATTCTCACTACCATAGGAAGTAGTGAGTATAAATAGGATGATGTTAAAATAAACCAAAGGCATATGAAGAGATACTAAATAAAGACGCATAAAATGTGACATAAGTATCAAATAACTGTTTCCCTGCTTTGGTGATGAGTTTATGAGCAGTCCTTTCAACAAACTTCTTCCAAGATATTAGTAACGACTATGATCTGGATGTTGGTAAAAATAAGTCGGGAGTTATTTGTCATAATTCCACTGAAAGTAGACAGATAGCAACCAAAGTATTTAGTTTTAATGACAGGAATTTTGTGAAGACACATAAATCTTACTTGTAAACAAATATTCATAAACCAAAGGACCCAACAACTTTCGTACATTTATTTTAACATGTTCAGTTTAAGCAGTGTACAATATAAATATGACCTATCAGAATATAAGTGTGGCTAAGAACAACCCCGATGTCGATCGAAAATTTTTGCCTAACTGACATTTCTGCAGATATCTTTTTAATTTCGAAGCTGTCACGTATTTGGATATATATACAAAACCTAAGTAACACATTGCAATTCACCATGAGTAAACCTGACGCAACTCCTGTTCGACTACGATATAATGCAATGAAACATAAAAATTACAAGATCTGAATAAACAGTTAGTGAGATCACATGCAAACAGATATGTACTCCTCATGCAAACGTTAAATGAGCTGAATACGTAATGCGACTTGGACAGTCATCCGACTTCTTGAGTCATGTGGTGAAGTAATAGATTTTCTTTGACTTCCTTCCTCTTACAATCTAGGTTACAAATTATAAATATCGAAAATCATATAATTTATATGCTAGCGAGTAAAAATAAACTTCAAACAACTCACTATACAAGTCTACCTTCGTAGAAAAACGCCGAGTGTTCTATACAATTAAAACCATAACCAATCCTACTGAGAAGACCATGAACACGACCGAAATCAGCTGGTTCTATGGATGTGAATTGAATCCCGTTGAAACAGTCCAACAGATCATAATGCTCAAAAAGCATTGTACGTAAATACTGTGAGGTCATAAATAAACAAAATCAATAGCACTTACACGGGAAAAAAGTGATCCAGTTTAGCTTTGAATATTTCATAACCATAAGTTTCGATAATGGCAGTAACTTTGCCGTGGAAAAGCTGCAAATTTTGTATAAGACAGAAATGTTTTACTTCGAATGTTTCACAAGCAGTTGACAAAACTGACTCAACAACTTGACTGTGTAAAGAGTCATTTTCAGTCAAACTGCCACTTGTTACATTTGATGTTAATGGTACGGAGACAACCTAAAAAAATTTTCAACGAGGTAGTAAGTATAAACATGTGTAAACACCTTACAATAACAATCCATATATTAAGAGCTAGATTTCTGAAAACTCTGTTTGTGTTCTTTGTACGAAGTGATGTACAACTGAATTAAACGAACTATAAAAATGACCTATGTAAACATAAGTGAATATACTTGGTAAACGTTACAACAGCCTCTGAAAGACCAATGGAGTTGAGTTGATCATCCAGTGGTTTTTCATTTGGAAAGAAGTATAGAATCTTCTTATATTCCTAAAATAAATATTTAAGACGAGATATAAAATACTTTAGTAGACAATGAATACATATGAATCAAAAAGATTATAGTAACAGTAGTAGTAGTACACCAGTTGCATGAAATTAAATAGATCATGACATCTCTAAACCTATTAAGGAAGTTAAACAAAATGAAGCAGCTGGTAACCACACAGGTTTTTGTATTCAGCTTTGAGAGAAGCTTGCTTTAAAGACCTGCGTATATTATTTAAATGCATAGACCAGAGTGTAATATGTCCCAGTTAGCAAGCCATTTACAAGAAAACATCTATCTACACTGCTAAGGTTTAGTTCTCATAGGTGGTTAGAAAAATTAGCCTGCCGCTAGGGCAAGCCAAGCATCGCCAAGAGCTCTGAAGGGATTCAACACTAGGACAATACTTTACTTACGGTCGAAAAGGAAGTTATACGAAACGCTTCGATTAGATTCTTCAGTGTTATCTGAAACACAGAACACATTAAGGCTTATAGTCTAATTCAATACGATTGTCTAATCTTATTTCCTTGGCTGAAATAACGGTAATGCAAAGCCAATAAAAGAAAAATGACTGAATTTCCCACGTTCTCAACAAATCATCGGCTGTTTTCGTTCGTGTTATGGTGCGAATTTCGAAGGCAGTAAGCTTAGGGAATATGTACGTCTTCAGAACAGCAATCCAAGTTTTTCCCAGAAACCAACTGTTTATTGACTGAAAACCACACGTAAATACCAGAAATATAAGCAACAACAGGTAATTAAATAAAAAGGATGCAGTTGACAGTAAAACAACACAACCTATACGCATGTAAATCATTAAAAGTAATCGGGTACACTATCTGATGTAGTAGACTTGATGTAAGCGCTAAAGAATTTTCCCTGAAGAATGTTTTATCAGAATTTGTGAAGGTTGAGGTACTGGCCCGTTATTCCGACTTACGTACCCCCATTAGCAGTTAAGGAGAACGGTACAGACAAAATTTCATTCTCGAATCATATTCGATATCGTGTTTTGATGCACTGGTAATATCAATAGTTCCCTTTATCGCCCTATTTATACCTAACTAATAAATTCAAACAATTTCAGTTTGCAAACCATCAACATCAACCGGATGGTGAGATAGTCAAAAATACTTCTCATCTTAGTGTTACAGAGTAAGATACATTTTATCTAAAATCATGTAAGTTTGAGCAAATTTTAGATGATTAGCTTTTCCGACATCCATCTGAGCATTTAAATATCGAGTTCTTACCCAAGAAGAAACTAGGATGTTTATTTCGTGGGAATCTATAACAATCCTATGCAGTCAGACTTGACATTATACCTCTGAAAGTACTTAATGAGTAAAAATCTATGCACTGAATCACTAGTTACAATGAGAGACATGGTAAAATGCAAATTAGCAGCCACAGAAAAGTTGATGCATTCAGCTGATACATTCAACTGAGGGCTAATAATACTATCTGGCTACCAGAACTCCATTTCAAATAAATAACCGACTGGCTGAGAATGGACTACGTAATACAATAAGCCCCAGTCCAAATATTGACCACAAAACAGAAATCAGAGACTTTTCGAAGAGATCACCACTGATTATTTTCATGCATCAGAAGACCTACACTAAAAAACAACTAGAATCGCGAAGAAGCTTACAGAAATCCTAAATTTTAGAATACCCTAAGCATGACTTGCTATCCATTGAGGCTGAAGTCATGGATTTAACGCCATCGACATAAATAAAGTTTTTGAAAGACCTATATTCTACTTGTATCAATACTGTTTTCTTCGGTGACTCTTTCCTTGCCTTTGGCTAAAACAGTGGTACTGAGTGATCAGTAGGAGATCGATGCATCATTCGTAAGAGTATGACATTCCCATCTGGAAGCCCGAAGTTTTGGGAACCACCAGCTGAATTGACCGGAATCGATCACATTGATGCGTAATTATTTATTTTTTAGCATCGCTAGAGTTTTGAATGATTGATTAACCCTGATCTATTTATTGTTTCTTTTCATAAAATCCCCTATTTACTGACGCATAATTCCCCCTTTCTGTGTCTTTATGGAATGCGACAACGTAAACTGGTTTACTTTCGCTTACGTTTTAAATTGAAATGCTTGTCTCGAAAAGAAAGGAACCCTTTTTGCTAACTATAGAGATGACCAGCGTAATATTCTTGGAATCCCTAAATTCATAACCACTCCATACCAAGAATGAGATGAAAACCAGCTAATCCGCGATCAGATGGTCCACTTCACACTCTCTGGAGCTATGGCCCATTGGTTTAGGGAGATGACTTTTAGCCAATGAGTCATGGGTTTGAGCATCCCCCAACTACCAAGGTTCGAGGGCCCAGGTAGTATCATTAGCCCCCACACAGTAGGTGGCTCATTGCCTGGTGCACGAAAGTGCACAAGGTTAGTGAATGAGTTTCGACTTTATACTCTCTAACAGCCCACTGATACTGCCGGTGAAAAATTACGATGAGAAAAATGACACATCATTAATACTGATGCACAAGGATTACATAGCTAACAGCTTACTTCAGTTACATGTACCCGAGTTCGAATATCATATCCAACGACTATACGTTTAAGAAACTGCATCATGCTTAAGACTTGTAATGAGTTGTGATACATCCAGATGTTCTTGTAGAGCAGATATTGAAACTCACAAACTTTTAAACCTTTACTAATAGCTTGTTCACAGGAGACGTTACATTGATAAAACCTCTTCGTTTGTCAGGTGCTGTAACATGGGTAGACAGAAAATTATGCCGACTGAAACAAAGATGATATTTAGCCTTGTCAACCGGGGTCCAATTTCGGTATTCATCCTTGAAGTCTATAGGTGAGAATTTATACAGTAACTAAGGTATTCTGCAAGTTGTTTTTAAAGATATGACAGTTAATAGTGTCTGTCAGAAGCATACACTATTACTCCTCTTATACTTGTCATTATTATTATTATTATTATTATTATTATTATTATATTGTTTGTCCCTTGGATTCCTAATGGAACATAGGGATTCTGTAGCACGTCTCCATTCCACTCCGTTCTCTGAAATCTTTTCAACCTGGCTCCACGACAGCCCACAAGCTCTCATTTCCTCCTCGCATGATCTCCTCCATGTCACCGTCACCTCAGACGCCCAACTTGTCGTTTCCCCTTGGGGTTCCACTCGAGGGACTGGCCTGACGCGTGATGTCCTCAGTCGGCCTTCTCAGTGTATGCCCAATCCATCTCCACTTCCTTCTGCATATTTGTTGGGTGATAGGTTCTTGGTTGGTTCGTCACCAGCCAGAGTTCCTTGTTGCTTATTCTTATTATTCTGGCCATCTGATCTTCAGTATCGAGACAGCGTAGACAGTTGTTGATGAATGTCTGCAGTTTGTTGGAAATCCCTTTCGTAACGCGCCAAGTCTTTTAGCCATACAGGAGCACTGACTTGACTGAAGTTGGTGTTGAAAATCCAGATTTTGTTCCACATGCTGAGTGGAGTGCAGAAGATCTCCACACTGGTTTCAGGCTAATGAACGCCTGTCTTGCTTTTCCGATCCTGGCTGACTTTGACATCGTCGTCTGTGCCTGTGTCGCCTGTAGTTGAAACAGTGCCTCCTAGATAGGTGAAAGAGGCTACTTCCATTAAGTTTCTCTCGTTAATGGTGATTGGAGTTGGTTGTTGTTGGAGTTGTTGGTGCGGTATCTTCATCACCTCTGTCTTCTTTATATTCACTTGAAGTCCCGTCTTCCCTGCCTCTTCTGACAACTTGTTAGTTTTCGCCTGTAGATCTTCAAGTTTGTGCGACATCAGACACAAGTCACCGGTGAAATCCAAGTCTTCTAGGACCTTTTCCGCAGTCCAGCGTATCCCCCTCTTCTCACAGCTCCCCACTGTTTGCTGCATGATCCAGTCGACCACAATCAAGAATATCATGGGTGATAGTAGACAGCCTTGTTTCACTTCTGTCTTTACTCCAAAAGCAGCAATGAGCTTCCCATAGTGAATTACTTGGCATGTGGCGTCTTCATATAGCCAGCTGTTGAATGAGGCTGATAAAGGTTTGCGGTGTTCCGTAGTGTTGAAGCAGTTTCCAAACTTCTTATTGGTCGACGCTGTCAAAGGCCTTCTCAAAGTCGATGAAGTCTAGGTAGACGGCTGACTGACATTCTATACTCTGTTCTAGAATGATGCGAAGCGTTGCAATTGGTCTGCACATGATTTGTACTTCCTGAAGCCAGCCTGTTTCAGTCGTAATTTTGAATCCAGCGCATCCTTAGTCTCTCCAGAATGATGTGGCTAAATATTTTGCTTGGGGTGGACAGCAGCGTGATTCCGCGTCAGTTCTTGCAAAGGCTTAGGTGGCCTATACTTGTCATAGACGGTGATAATGATAGTGTCTACTCTCCGAGGACTGATCTACTGGAAAATATTCTGATTGACTTAAGGTATCCAGACGACAGACTTGTTAATCAAAACACAAAAGATAAGTGATAAACTGAATACCGTTAGTCAAATGCTTAGGATGTATTCTGAGCTTACTGTTGATATTATTTATCGTCTGGAATTTATAGTTCAAAACCGTGAAATGAAATAGCTGGGTGTTGATTTTATATATAGTGAAGGATGTATCAATCCTAGTGATCGGTCTGCCAGAGAAATCTAGGAATAAAAACAAGAGGTTTCCTTGTACTGGTAGGCTATCTGACCTACTATCAAAAGGCGTTTTAATAAACACTTGTCCCCTTTACCCTTTTTTTAGAACTAAGTTTATCACATACATGTTAATAACAAATTGATTTTCTTCATAATGCACTAATTTTCTATGGATAGAATGTTCTACTAAGGTTATGGGATTCTTTGAGCGATGCGAGGTCGTAAATATTCAATACTAGACTTGTTAGAAGCATCATTTATATACGGTGGACTAAAAAATTGTACTCGACTACTGATAAACAGATAGCTTTGAAAGACAACAAGTTTCTATTAACTTTAAGCAAAATGAATTCCTATACCATCATTTTGAGAAATATCTACAAGTACGAAGTCAGCTAATCAAAAAATCTGTGCAGTTAATTTGTAATTGCAATAGAAAACTTTCTTGTGAATATGCATATTTGCCAAGGTGGACAACCAGTAATGTATCTACTCTTATATTATCTACTGAAATCTTTCATTTTCATGCATGGTATTCAGGGATAACAGTATAGCCATGAAACTTGGTCATTAATGTGAAGGACATAAGAAGGCTTCGGGTGTTCTATCACAGCTGCTTTCGTAGCAATGACCTTGCGTCATTTAACCACCACGTTAATAATGAAGCTTTTAGGTGAAGATTCTTAGAAATTGGGTACCTGTGACTTTAAAAAGACTAATCTCCTAACTGGAGGTCATCCGGTTGACTTGGAGTATGCAGACAATATTATCCTGCGGAGTGAAGACGCTGACAAAAGACAGGGTATTCTGAATGTGCTGAGCAGTAATGAGTACTTCTGACATGGTTTCGCATCTGTTAAACATAAGACGATGCTCCAGTACTGGTCAGCTGCAATTACTCCCAACTTAGTGTTATGTATCGACTACTTCACTTATGAAGTTGCATCAGATAAAACGGAGTGGTCGCTGGCGAAAATTCAAATTGGATACAGAAGGTCTATTTTGTATTCACCAACTTCCGTCATCTGTGGTGTTCACTGGTGAGATATTCGACTATTTATCAAAGAATAGGTATACTGCGATGCAGTCCGTTGTGTCATGTTGTACTTCTATGCGACCATTAGCAGTAGGAGACATGTAGCGATTACTGGGTTTTGATCACAGATGTCTTTGTAGCATTGTTCGTATTTGGACGGACATTAGCATGATCCATGAGATGGCTAGCCTAACGCACAAAAAGGACTTAAGCTGCTGAACCGGTTTTCTTTATCCTATTGGAGTTTGAGGAAGGATCAAACCTCCGTATACATGAATTTAAGAAATGACTTCAGACCTGATACTTTTTTCTTACTTTCCACTATGTCGCAACAAGTCCAAGGACGTTGCAAGAGTATACAAAAGCAAAGGACGAACGCAGTCTTCTATAGTGCTGTTTCTTGCATAGCTTCTAGAACTGACTCTCAGAAGTGGTGTCCAAGTCATCACCTGAATCATTCAAAGGAAATCTGAAGAAGTACAGAGATCTAATGGAAAAGGATTAATATAGTCTCATAACCTCTGAGTCGCATATTAAAAATCTATAAATCCAAACTTGATGCGGTTTTGGTTAGGTTTTGCAAAGTAAAGAGTATGAAGAAGCTTAAAATAACACTTTAAACTCATGAATAGATTTGGAATCTCACATCGCCTTCCTTTTTACACTCCAGAGTATCATACACGAACAACTCCAAAATCCTAGGACGATCAATGACAAGCATAGCGCTAGCATACTTCAACCTTGTAAGAACCTTGACGTGATGCAGAAAAACTATAAGAAATATATATGGTTTTGTATTCAAAATGGAACAAATTGTTTCATGCAATATCTTTGAAATTAGTGTAAACTGACAGCTGTTTCCCTATTGCGTCGAATTCATGAGATTATAGTTTGTTGATTTTTACACCTTTGCGAGCCCGAAAGAGATGTTTCGTTTTCCTGGACAAAGTACTTTTGACTCCCAATGTCTGGGAGTTATCTTACCGGGTAGTCCGTAGACTATGTAGTTAAGAAAAATGGAAGGTTGCTGGGACCATTCGAGCCCAATAGTGAGACTAGAGGAAACTTGTAGTCTTTAAGTTCTCGCCTCTAGGTCTTCAGCTTCGGTTCCTTTTTCCCGGTTATACTTCTCTCGTAGCCGTTAACGTCTTTATATTGTACTTACCCATAGCTTTTGAGTAAATGGTTGTCCATTTTAAGGTACTTTTTTTGCGACTGTAGCTTGGTTTGGTCCGGAGAAGCAGCGTATCTCCTGGCAAGACCAGTTAACCTTTTGCAGTTTCTGCTCTATTAGGCAGCTGAAACTAAGCATTAGGCGTTGTTGAAAGAGCGGTGCTAGAAATGAGGAGTGTAGAGAATGAGAAAAGGGGAGTGAGAAGTACCTACAGAAAAACAGCTTTTATGGTCTATATGGAAAAGGAATGATTTCTGTTGCAGATACTAGTGGTGAGGAATACAGGGATGGATGAGCCTATCTTCAGTTACCGCCGGCGAATTTCGTGGCAGGCCACCTGTGCTCATATGCTTACTCGCAGTCGTCTGAAGGAGTCAACAGATGTGTCTGCGTCTACTTCCTTCGCAGAGTGTTCCATAAGTTGCACACTGAGAAGTTTGATCTCACTCTCGTCCATGCCCCACGATCGGGTATGTGAGTGGAGTCACCACGAGACTATGAGTTCTGGGTTGGCAATGTTGATCTATTTGAGTGGTCAGCCAGAGGAACTATGTCGCAGGCTGTCATTAGGTCATCTTTTTTCCTTCGATAGCTTAATGTGAATAAGTTGGGCTGTCTAGGGAGTTTCACATGTTTCGCCCGTTAGTCTGAAAAGCGGCCTTGTCTTCCTTCCTTATGCCTTCTCGAGAGCACTAGGGTCTCTCTGTAGTGAAGGAGGGCTATCGTATTGAATACCTCTAGGTGTGGCCTAACATAGATTTTGAACTCCATGAGGAATGATTCGAGGGTTAGCGCTCCAAGCTGCCCCCTCAAAAAGTGCATGGTGCTGTTCACCTTTGCAGTCAGCACTAGCATCCATCGTATCGGAGAAGCTTGGTCCTATGCCCTTCTCTGCGTATACTCTGGTGGTGGTGCGCTTGATGAGGGTGTAACTAGTTTTCAGATATATCAGCTCGCATTTCTCCAGGTTAAAGCCCGAACAATTTGCAGCCAACAAGGGCTCCAAAGGCAGCAAACCATTTCGGAGTATCCTAGCATTCTCTTCCCTACCTACTGTCTCCATATTTTAAAGACGATGTTTTAGCAACTTCCGTTAATGTGGCAGACTATTTTCATAGAATTCACGCAAATTAGGGATGGGGGAAAATGGAAGAAACTGATTGTTTTAGAGAGAAAACGAAAGAAATACCGTGCGTATACATAACAGTGAGTAACAGTGAGCAGTGAAGACTGATAATAGACTTGCTGTGGTGTGTTCTTGATGTTGGAGTTTCACTGACAATGTGCGTGGTAGACGATGTTCGCTTACTTCTCATCATGAAATTTCCTACCTGAATACCCTGTAGGGGTGTTTTTTATTTCCCGTTGTAGCACACTCCACGCGACATGTACCCCGTGCGAAAAGAATTTGGCTGTAATCCCTGTTTTACCCTTTTGGTTCGTCACTCTTTATGGGTTCCTACATGACTAATATACTTCGATGGTATTAATTATTTGGTTCGTCCGCCGCCTAGTTTTATTCACTGGTACCAGTCACTCTGGTAACTGTGATGGCTAAGAGTTAGTTAGTTAGTTGTTGTTTATTTTCACTAATGGCCAGGAGGTATATTACACTGCCTTCCTCTGTGCCATCTCTAGAAGGCTCACACCACACCTGAGCAGTAGATAGGCTGCTGTATTTAGAGCTTAAAGATGTAGTATGATAAGCGCAGTCTGCCCTTAGAGCCATTTCCAAATAGTTAATGCTGGCCACCATCAAGAATGAAAAATTAACGCCTGAGAATTTCTCCCTGATCACCTCCCGAATAATATGGCTACACCTGACTCTACTGGCATGAAGGACAAGGGCTTTGACTGGCTTTTCTATCGAAGACCCTGGTTTAGAAAGGTCAGTCCGGAGCTATTCTGAGTACCTAACCGCATATATCGCCCGCATTATTAGGTTTTCGTCCTTAAAATTGATGTGATGACTGGTGAGAATGTAGAGCACCTTCCTGGCACCAAAATATAACTAGGGCTAAAATAAATAGTTTAAATTAAATTAACTAAATAAATCTCTAGCTTGCCTCCGGATGCTTAGGGTGTTTTAAGTTTTGTTTTAACGAGCATGCATCCGAGCAGGCTTGGACGCCATTTTTGCGCTCCATTGTGCTGATCACCACGCACGTACTCCGAGTCCCTAGTTCAGCCTTACAAGCCAGATAAGTTGATTAAACTTTTCCCTCATTCATTATTATAACATTTACCTTAAATACATAGCTCCTTTAAATACATTGCGTATCAGTTCTTTTGATTTGTGTTTTGTTACCAGTACTTACACGTTAGGTAAAGTACTGGTTAAGCAGGTACTAGAGCACATCAAATTAAGTAGGGTTGATCAAACGTTACGGAATTGTAACACGCATCCCTACAAAAATTGGTGAGCCCGAGTATCACTTCTTATTTTGTCTAGTACCTTTGTTCTCTTGCGTTGATTTGTCTGGCCTAATTTTGTTTTTGGCACGTCTAGCGTTTTTTTTAATATTATTGCACTCCTCATTGGTTATTTTTGCATTGTAATTTTTTTATTATCACTATCGTGCCTCGTTAATTCCCTGATCAATGGCGGATAACGACTCGACTGCGCAGATGGCCATAACCCTCCAGCTTCCCACCTTCTGGGCCCACAGACCATCTGCATGGTTCTCCCATGTGGAAGCTCAGTTTGCCTTGAGACACATTCAATCACAAGAAACTAAGTCCAACTTAGTCATCGTCAGCTTACCGGAAAATGTGATTGAAGACGTGTCAGATGTGCTAGATGACCCAGCACCGAATCTTTACGATCGCCTCAAAACCGCCCTCATCAAACGTGTTGCACTTACTGACCAGCAGAAAGTGCAAGAACTTTTCAGGGATGTGCATCTGGGTGATCGCAAGCCGACGCAACTGCTTCGTCAGATGAAGCAGCTGATTGCTGACTTCAACATTGATGAAGCATTTCTCAAGCAACTGTGGTTACAGAGGTTACCACAGTCGGTTCAAGGGATCCTCGCACCCTTCCATAAGTGCCCCTTAATAGAGTTGGCGGAAGCGGCTGACAGAGCTGTGGATGCTACGAAACCCAACACTAGTATCTCAGCTGCACTGTCTACTGCCACGGATTCGTTCAAAACCCCATCCTCCTTCGGCTGTTGAGCCAACAAGTTTCGATGTTATAGCTCACATCTCAAAATTGTATGAAGAGTTGTGCAGCATCAGGAACGAAATGCGGTCTGGTAGTTCTTACAAAGGTCGCACGTCTCGCTCGCGCAACAGGTCTGCCTCCCGTACCGATAGCAGACGTTCCAAATCGCGACAATCCCAACCCAGGTTGTGCTGGTACCATAAACGTTATGGTGCCAATGCCAAAAAGTGCACTCGACCTTGCACCTTCGAGGCTAACCAGGCGGGAAACGTGTGAGCCAGCACGTGACGGCGACTAACGTCGCTGGCGAGCCACTTCCATGTCGCCTCTTCTTCGTCACTGATCGACATTCTGGGATACGCTTCCTAGTTGACACTGGGGCAGAAGCTAGCGTCATCCCACCTACGAAGGAAGAGCGTCTGCGGCCAATGTCTCTGCAACTTCGTGCCGCCAACGGTTCGCCCATCACAACCTATGGTCGGAGATTCCTCGATCTCAACCTTGGATTGCGTCGTCCCTTTCGTTGGGTTTTCATAGTGGCAGATGTGACCACCGGCATTATTGGTATGGATCTCTTGCAGCACTATCAGCTGCTGGTAGATGCTGGCAAGCATAAGTTGATAGATTCTACCACAACACTCTCTGTTTCCGGTATAGTCACAAAGACGCCGCCCCTCAGTCCCGTGTACTGCACGACGGACGCTTCTAGTCCCTATGCGTCTATCATTCAGTCCTTTCCGGATGTCTTTAAGCCAAGTCGTTGTGTCCCTTGTGTGACTTCGAACGTTTCTCATCACATAACGACGACTGGCCCTCCAGTATTTGCGAAACCACGGCGATTATCCCCGGAGAAACTGCGTGCTGTAAAAGCCGAGTTCGAACACATGCTTGAAATGGGAATAATCAGACCATCCAACAGTCCATGGTCTTCACCCTTGCATGTGGTACCCAAGAACAATGGCATGGACTGGAGGCCTTGTGGTGACTACCGAAGGCTCAACGCTAAAACGATTCCAGATCGTTACCCAGTCCCTCACATTCACGACTTGACTGCATCTTTAAAAGGCTCGGTTATCTTCAGTAAGCTTGACTTGACGCGTGCATATCATCAGATCCCGGTTCATCCTGATGATGTTCCCAAGACAGCCGTCATTACACCGTTTGGTCTTTTTGAGTTCCTCCGTATGCCTTTTGGTCTTCGCAATGCAGCACAAACCTTCCAACGTTTTATTCACGATGTTTTACGTGGACTCGATTTCGCCTATGCCTACCTAGACGATATACTAATCGCTAGTCCAGACGAAGACACTCATTTAACCACTTGAAACAGGTTTTCGCCAGACTGTCAGAGCATTCGATGACAGTCAACCTGGCCAAATGC